GTTGATTTTGTTTCGCGAAAGCTTTCGATTCTTATATAATCGCGTCCAAATTCGTTCGAGCGATAAAGTTAACGTGACAAACAACTATAGAAAAGCACATTATTTTGCGCTTTCGAAATAGAACAGCCATCAAAGGACTCTCAGGACTGTCATTCGCGATGCACAAGGGTGCAGTGATTACCGGGGTGCACCACTCCTCGATACCTCAACGAGCAAACTTCATCGGCGGCGGATCAATGAACGGCCGTTCCCGCGGAAAATTCGTCCCTTCGCCGCGGCGACGGCGTGAGAATTAAATGCGGAGCGGTGCGTTGCCAACGCGGCGCGGCGCGCGGCGGAGAGAGAGAGAGAGACAAGCCCGCGACCGGTTCCATGGTTCATATTAATTCTTAATTTCTTAATTTCAAGTCGACCGTTAAGTATAGCGTCAAAGAGGTCTGGGGCCCTCCATCGGTAACCACCGCGCCGTCGCTACCCGCCCTTACCTTCTTACCGCCTCTCATCCACTCTCGTTTCCGGCTCTTCGGCTGCCGATGAAGGAACGAAAGACGGGGGGGGAGGGAGGGGGAGGGGGGAGACAAGAAGGCGAGGGTTGAGAGCGAGCGCAATTAAGCTCTCGCTCTCTTCGGGGATCCATTCATTTTTCAGGTAACGTCGCCGGACGGCCTCATCTAAGTTTTAAATCGCGTGCTGGCGGCGGTCTTGCGATACGCGACCGGCCTTGGACGGGGGACGGGGGAAGGCGCAGGGCTCGCCCGCCAATTTATGTATATCGGGCCGAGATTTGCATTCACGCTACTATTATACTCGACTCTTTCCCAATACTAACGACGACAGCGAGCTCCTGTCACGTAGATATTTAAGTTAATATCGGCGTGCGTAAACTAGCCTATAATAGCGCGGAGAAGCCTTTTATTTAGTTAAACTTGCCTCATAGTAACATCTATACGCTGTGGCTGTGAAGATGTCGGATAGGCAAAAATTGAAGGGACAAAATTAAGTCAAACTGTCAAACAATCTTCCTCGATACGGACAGTCTAAATTGCTTTGCCATGATTTGCTCCGCTTACCGCTAAAATTATTTACATTAATATTAGAATGAAAATTTATAAAAAAAAACTCAATGTTATCGTCAAAGAGGTTACTTTCCTTCTTTAAATAAACGATCAATTCAAGTGGCAGATTTATCTTCGGATAACGCTTCCGAATATAATTTAATCAAATCTAAAATCTCGGTTAATTGAGACTGCGAAAACTCGTGAAATACGTAAAAAAAAAGAGTTCATTATTTGGATAACTTATTTAAGAGAGAACTAAATATACGTAAAAAAAAATATACAGGAATTTCTCAGCTATGAATACGCAGTACGAGTGCATGTCGAGTGAAATGGCAGTTCCCTGAAAAGTTTCATAAGCCGGAACGTGCAATGAGTATAACGCATTTCCCGGCAATGCCATTAGCTTTATCAGTTGCCTGGCGGTCTAGCTATTTCGCCGACAGAGATCTCCCGCATTCGCGCTCCCTATCCCCTCTCGTTCGCTTTCACGGGAGCAAAAGTGGAATCAGATAGGTATTGGCGAGATGGAGCATCGGACTGACCCGAAGAGACCGGCGCGCGATACAAGTTTACGGCAGGCAGACTCGCCTCGCACTTGTGTGTTTACGTTCCAGGCACGAACGTACCTTAAAGACCCACGGTTCGCAAGCTCGCTCCCGGCCCTCTCCCCAGATCGTTGACAACTGTTGGTGGTTATATTCCGAAAACAGAGGCTTTTTAGGCCGTTATCGAATTTAGGAGGCACGCAAATGGTAATTCTTCGCGTGACAGTGATTATACGAACGCGTGCGTACGTCACCGGGCGATTATCAAACGCGAAAGCGTAAATATCGAACGTGAAAGGTCCCGGTAAAAACAGCAGTAGGTAGTCGGCGTGTACTTTGCGCGTACGTGAGAAAACATACTCTGACCGTACTTTGCAAATGGCGCGCGGCTCTAAATTTCCGCCCTTCACTTTTGTACGGCCTGCGAAGTCCGTGATGTCGTCCAAGTGTAGTGCGCGTACATACAGCACGATCGTGTGCACGCTCATCGTTAGGACGTGCACGTGGGCGTGGACACGGAACTTGTGTATGCCCACGTGTACGTGCACCCGTACGTAGGAGTCGAATTCCGAAATGGCGTCATGTACGTCCGTACAGAGCGCGCGCGTTCACGCCCGATGGTATCTCCAATGTGGGTCACATACATACATACATAGAAGGGAGAAGTCCAGCCGCTACGAGCCGGAAACTCTGCATTCAAAGCCGAATGGAGGACTTTCGGTAGAGAACGAGAAAGATAGATAGATAGAGAGAGAGAGAGGGAGGGAGGGAGGGAGGAAGGGAGAGGAAGAGAGGGTGGAATTAGGGGTAGGTTCAAGATAGAGATAGCGGTGAGCCCTGATATCTCGAGTCCATTTCTAGCTCGTGCCACGAGTCGCGAACAAACGTGTCGTGCGCCCGACTTCCTTTTCTTCCTCCCTCTTCTTTCATCCGCCGACCCTACTCCACTACCCTCGATCCTTCGGAACCACGTCGTGTCACCTGAGAGAGCCGGGGCATATATTCCCTGCCGGCTGGGATCGACCAAGTTTTCCAATAAATTTCTATATCCGCCGGCTGCATCTGCAACGGACGACCCGGGACCGCCTTATTATGCGACCATTCGGCGACGCCGAATTCCCCTCCTCCCCCTCCCTCCCCCCGATCCTTCCTTTTCTCCCCGGTCGCGTATCACGATTCCCCGCCGTCAATGATAAGCGGCAATCGGTTCTCCCCGTAGACGATCGCTCCCCCGCTGCAGACTTTAACGTTCCGCGCAGTATGCATGTCTGACCGTGACAAGGAATCTGATTCACCGTAATGGAAAGACGCTATCGTGATATTCATGCATGACCTGTACTTTTATTACGTTAAACTAATTCGAATTACGGTAACAGATCAAAGAGTCAATTGTAAAAATTTATTTGCTAAACGCAATCTGAATACAATGTCTTAAAAAATGGATGGGATTTGGCAATTATTTTAGGTGTTATATGTTTATTATTTTCATATTTCTGATTTAACTAACAGATATCATAAGAATTTATTGTAATCATTGCGTTGTATTCAATTAATCGTGCCTCATTGTATTGTATTGTCCAGTTAATCGCGCTTACTTGCGTTATTTCTAGGGTAGGCAGCATAGCAGCAACATTGCTAACGCCCTACTCCCTTTCTGTGTACTTTATGTATCTATGTAATTTTACGGATACGCGGCTACACAATAAATTAAATAAGTATATTAAATATTATTTGTATTAAAGAAAAACATTTTTTTAAATTTTCCGTTGCCACTTTTATGAGATGTATACGTTCATTGAGAATAATTAAGAAATATTAGTAAAGTAATTGAATTTTTGGCTTGTCAAAAATAATGCTCAAATTTAACTGACATAGTTAAAGCTGTAACGACTTTATTTTAGAACTGTAACGATTCTATTAATTTTACGATACGGCTTCAGCTTGGGAATGAGATAACCGAAAATTTCCAACTTAATAACTATTATTCCATTTTGCTTATTAGAATCATTTATTATTACTTCCTCGTGAGAAGCCATTTAGAGCAACCGCGCCGGAATTGGAATCGAAGATCGCGCGTGCGTTCTATTTGCCGGGCTCTCCGAGCTCGATGAATCATCGTTATCGCGATGAAGAAACCCGCACAATAACGCGTTCCAAAGATTTTTCCAAGGACCGATAAAAGCTAATTAACTGAAATTCTTGTCCTAGATGGGTTTCTAATCACATAATCTGCCATTTTGAAACGTCCAAAAGAACGGCCTAAATTTCTTTATCTCTCTAAGTGGATCTTACGATAAGAAGTGCTCTCAGTTTCCAGGATACTAATCAATATTTTAATTTTTCATGACACGAATTTCCCATAGCAATATAAGATTGTTTCTACTATCAAAATACACAAGATTGACTGATATAATTTGACATTGATATAATTTGACAAGAATTTAGTTTATATAAAATAAATAGATTACGACAAATTGTTCGATAAATTTAAAGTTAATTCCTTCCTAACAAAAGTAGATACTCCTAAACAAATTAGATACTTTTATTTAATTTTTTAACCACCTCACGCGACATACATGTCGAAACGATCTTTAATTTATGAAAGACGAGACGAAGTTTAAATACATAATTTCACGATAATTTAATTAACAAAGATTGACTTTCTGTAATCCATGAACGAGTTAGACAACCAGAGCGAATGAGATCATTCACACGTGAATAATATTATGTCACGCATTTTGGAGCAATCCAAATAGCGATACCTCGATATCACTGTTATGAGCCATAACGATCAAAATTCATGGGAACTGCAGCGAGGCAGAATTGTCGTCGCGCGCCGTTGACGTCGTGTAAATGGAAATGAGTGCACTTGTTCGTCCAAAAATCAATAGCGTTCCGCGCGAAATGGCCAATAAAATATGCAAAAGTACTAAACAATGTAAATCCCATGAATCACAGTCGTCGACGGTGCCGCTCGATTTTGCGACACGAGAGGAAATGGTGAGGATGTGCGATACATCGATAATGTAACCAACTGAAATGATAGTCAATGATATTGCTCTCGTTTGCCCATGACTCCAGCGGGAAGTAGCGATATATTACATAATGCCGGGCACACGATCAATTTTACATAGAATATTTTACAAATTCGAAACAATATGAAATCTCTCGGTAAAGAGATCTCTTGAAAGGTATTATAATAAAAATTTAACGTTGCTAATTATAAATGTGATATATTTACAAATTTGATACACTTAAAAATGCAGATTATTAAAAAGATTACCGAAAGATGTTAATTTTTTTCTTTTTTTTTAATTTGCGCGATATCTTTGTTAAAATAAAGTCTGCGAAATTTTAACTTTGCAGTGCAATAATGATGAAAATTTGTTGTACTTACCGGACCGAATTGTTCGAAGTAATTTTTGACGTCCTCCAGCGTCGTCGGCGCCGATAATCCCCCGACGAATATCTTCTTTGTCCTTGTCACCATCTGCAAGAAAACAAGAAGAGGGGCATTAATTTATATCTTGAAATAACATTTTTTAAAATTAAGATAACATACTTCTTTTCAAAAGATAGATAAAGAAAAGTTACGCAGTGACACGGCTAACAATGTTCCAGGAAGGGAAATAAAAATTTCGTCGCGGTATGATCGTACTAGAAGAAATTGATAAGGACTTCATCAAATATGGATGATTTGTGTCTGGATGTGCTGTGACATTTCCAGGTAGACTCCTCCAGGCGGCGGCGGTGTTCTTGTGCCATTGCTTTTAGCTTTTCGTATTCCATACCTATCTGGCTATCGACAGAAAAGTCGTAAATAATCGACACAGGTGCATTATTAACGGCCGAACTTATACGCTTCAGTATAACATACCAATACGTAAACACGAAGGGCAGAAAACACTCGCGATATTCGCGATGTTCTATAAAATTTAGAAAATACGAAATAGAACGTACGAGATTTCTTCCTTCCTCGGCGACCGCGCGGACTTCGTAAAGAAGAAAATAGAAAAGCGGCAGGGCGGAGAATGTTACTAGATTATGCTTTAAGAAATGAGAAACCTGAGAACGGCGCGTTAAAGGTCATGGTGAAAATCGGAAGGAGCGTTACTAGGTGCTCGTTTATCGTCGGATTCGTCGTGTGGATCGGTGCGTGTCGTGAATCGAAAGAAACGCGGCGATTGAAGTAGACGTGCGACGCGTCGGCGAGAAGCAAGACGCTCCTTCCCTCAAGATTGTTCTCGCGCGGCGAATCCGAAACGCGAGACATTGCAGGATCCTGCGTTCGGATCTTGCGATTACAAGCCACATACGAACACGACGTGTTTCTCCGATATTCCTCGCGTCTCCCCGTTAGATATTGAACGTCACGACCCACGCATCGGGAGGGAACTACATCAACCGGCGGATATCAGTGTGGTATGATAATATAACCAATGAATTAGAAATGGAGATCACGAGAAATTCGATTAGTATTTAAAGACCGTCTAATCGATCGCGCGCGCGCACACACACACACACACACACACGCGCGCGCGCGCGCGCACACACACACACACACACACACACACACACACACACACACACGAGCGCGCGCGATGATACCTACATGATGATAAAGCAATGTAACAAAAAATAAAAATCTATTAAAAAATAAAATTTTCTAATAAATTTTTAATTTTTAATTTTTCTAATAAACACACACACATACACACACACACACACACACACATACACACACACGTGTGTATACGTAATTTATTAAATAAAGAAATAAAGTTGGAAAATTTTATGTGTTTGTTGTGAAAATAAATGAAGAGAACATTTTTAATTTTTATATCTTAAAAATTAAAAGTGTTCTTTTCATTTATTTCCACAACAAACACATAAAATTCTCTAGCTTTATTTAATAAATTACGTACACTGTTAAATCTATGTCAAACTGAACCTTATTTAAGTCGCCAGTGCTCCTACTTAATAAATAGTTATTTTTAATTAAAACAATATAGTTATTTTTAAATAAAATAATGGAATTTACCAATCCAAATTTGGATTAAATTTGAACTGTTTTAAATTATTTAACTCCATTGTTTTAGTAAAAAAGAATTATTTATTAAGTAAGAGCAGTGGCGACTTAAATAAGCTCAGTTTGATACTATAGATTTAACAGTGTATACACGTGTGTATGTGTTTTGTGTGTATGCCCGTGCATATGTGAATTTATTCAGAGAAATAAAAGTTTGAAAAAAGATTTATTTATAGCACCTGAGTTTCAAAGGCAAACCAAAAACATATAGTAAATAACTGAGCGTAATGCATTAATAGTCGGATAAACACTGCGAGGAGTAATTTGATAAAGAGAATTCATCGATTCCTCCGTGAAATCAGGTCCGACAACGTAGATTAATATGAGGAGCTTAAGAGAGCTGAAAGGAGAAGAGCTCGCAGAGAAAGACCGATACTTTTAGTCTTGAAATCTTGATAATACAATCGCATTGTAATAAAGCCACGGGACGAGCCGAGGGAATGAAAGGCAGGAGTCGAACATTTTACGGGCGGAAGTTCCATGCTGAGGAAAGGAAAGCACGATCAGGGGTAGAAAGAAGGATGGGGAGGGAGGGAGGGAGATTGTGAAGCGCGGAGGAAAGGGCGGAAGAGGTAAACTCCGGCAATTTCAGTGATGGCTGGGCTTAGACATCTCTATATCCGGTGAGTAACGCAAACCCTCGGGAGGACGCGAGTCCTTCCACCCTGCGCGCTCCTGAACTCGTTCCCTCTCCCGCCCTCCACCCCCTCTCGTTCTCCGTCTCTAACCCTTCTTCAAAATCCCATGCAAACTCGCAGCTTTCTTCGTTCCGGCGTTCCTTCGTCTGGAAGGGGAATGAGAGAAAGGCAGGACTCTCTCTCGCGAGGTGAGTTAATCAGCGAAGTGTATAAAGTCCCGAGGATAAAAATAAAATGGCAGGATCTCTCGAAAATTAAATAAACGATTCGCCTCGATTTCGTCGGCGAGAGGCTCGTCGTACGGAGAAAATAGCAAAGAGAAAGAGGGAGCGAGAGATACTCTCGGGAATAAAGAAGGATATGCTATCATGAATGGACAAGGTGAAGAGAGAAGCGAATGGAGGGCAAACTTTTAACCAAGGAGAGGCCACTTATTCGAATGAAACCGCTGCAGCATCCCCTCCTTCTTCTTCTTCTTCTTCGGTGCCGAAAGCGGGATTTCGGCTCTCCTAGTGTTCTCCACCAACAAACGAAATCCAGTTTTGCATTTTGCCAACCGCGTAATAAGCACATTGTCGTGAAAACTAGGTATATGTAGAGTCTTCTGTCGAAAATCTTCTATTGTCCATCGTCCTCGTTTGTTATATGGGACAAATGGTTTTAATAATAATTCAAAAATAAAGCTGAATATAAAATAATAAACAACGTTCAAAAGAAATCCTTTGTAGATTACTGCTAATATCGACATTAGAATAAACTCTCAGATAACTTCTCTCTCACATATAAACAAATATTATAAATATAAATATATATTGTCCATCGTCCTCGTTTGTTATATGGGACAAACGGTTTTAATAATAATTCAAAGATGAAGCTGAATATAAAATAATAAACAACGTTCAAAAGAAATCCTTTGTAGATTACTGCTAATATCGACATTAGAATAAACTCTCAGACAACTTCTCTCTCACATATAAACAAATATTATAAATATAAATATATATTTTTTAAAAGAGGACACTCCCCCAACTCTTTTACATTTTTATTTGTGACGCGAGATAAACAGACAAAGATGTCTAGCTGTCAATCGTCGTACATTGGCTTATTACGGAATAAATCCGTTTAGCTTAGGCTAAAGCGGGGAGGATCGACTATAGCGGAATGAACGGTCCAATTTTAGCGGAGGCGCGACGCGAACAAAAGATGGAGTCGCAGGCGGCGGCAGGGGTGGACCGCTTCTCGCCGCGGTTAGCTCGGCGAAGAATAAGGTGGAAAAATATAAGTCACGAGAGAGAGAAGAGAGAAAGAGAGAGAAAGCGGGAGCGAGCGGGGGGCCCCCTCGGGTCGTTAGCGGAGATAAGAGCGGATAGCGGCGGAATGGTAATGGAAACTCGGCGAGTTCCACTTATTACGCCGTAGCATTATGTAAATACCGGAAGGCTATTACAATTTTACAACTTACTAGGAGTGGCTTTATAGTTTCATCGCTCGAGGGAGGAGGTGGGCGAAAGAGAGGGCCGTCGCCTCCATCCCTTTTCGCCGAGACCGAGACCTCTTGCTCTCCTCACTCGATACGCGACCACGTACATGTTTCTGGCTCGCCTTTAAAGTTTCCACGTCTACGAAAATGAAATCGCCCCGGTGGAAAGGAAGATGGAAGCTATCTCTGGGTCCACGCGCGCGCGCGCGCGCTTCACTATTTGCAGAAATTTAATATTCGTCTATAATTAACGCTCGCTGCAGTCTAATACGTACTCCGTAATGACGTAAGATGTTGTTTCACGTTAATTTTAAATATCACGTCGCTGTAATCCATTGGAATCCACGCTTCAGAAAGAAAAGTAATTTATAAAAATTAAATAAAATACAAAAGCGCATTGGCCGTTATTATCGCGCGAGGCGTGGGACTTTATATTTTATCGCGCCAATTGGCTCGTGAAATAGAGACTCTGCTTAGTTCGACGAATCCAAATTATTGTATAACGCAAATTACGAGCGGAAACGCGCGAGGTTCGTGATAAAAGGCGCGCTTAATGGCAACGCACAGTTTCACAGAAAAAAAAGATAGAAAAAGACAAGGACAATAGTCAGCGTGTCCTTTATGGCCGTCGGGCATTATCGTTCCACGTTATTGCGATGTATTCGTAAATGTCATAATCAGTTCCACGTTTTCCACCGCGTTTACCCCTCCCTCCTCGTCCCGTTCCGCCTCTCGCCACCCTTCTCCCCTTTCCCAATGAACGCACGAAGGTCTGTGACGGGCAAGAAAAATATTAGAATAAACGTTAATCAGCGGTCTCACGTCCGCGCTTTAACGACAAAATGCTTTCGCCTCCACTCGCGATCATTTTGAGAGCTTAATCGTGCGTCCCGATGAGATCTCGCGAATTTACATAACCGAGAGAGAGAGAGAGAGAGAGAGAGAGAGAGAGAGAGAGGAGGAGGAGGAGGAAGAAAGGAGAAAGAGAGAGAAACGTTCGAGATCGCGCGCAATCCGCTGCAGTGGTGTAGCACGGTTTTTTAAGTGAACGCGTAAAGCCGACACGCGCGTTATTAGATAGCGCCGCGAGATGCATGCCGTGTATTACTTCGTGTTGCACATACAGCGTAACACCGTAATCGCATTAAGCATAATATTACGAAAATTTTGCATTTCGCTAAACGGCGCTAATGCGCTACGTGACGTAACGGAGGGATCAGAAAGAGAGAAATAAAATAGTGCAAACGCGCTCGCGCGCGCGCGTTCGTCGTTGCGAATAAATT